GATGAAGATGAATGTGAACTAATGTAAACATATTATTATATAATATAGCAAAAGAAGATGTAGCAGCAAAAAAAAATAAAATAAAAAAGAAGGTTGTTAATAATAAATGCGGACATGACATTTCTACAGGAAAATCTTTTATAAATATGAAATATTAATGTATGACTTCATATATTATCATATTATAAAATGTATACATGAGTATATATGTATATCTAATGTACATAAATAATTGAATATAAGGAAAGGAAAGGAAAGATCAGATCCGTTCAAACTGATAGGAAGGAATATAGGAAATAGAAGGAGTGATAGTTATTATCTTCTATATTGTTATACATATAATAAATGTGCTTTGCGTATCTCTGTAATATGAAAACATTATAACATACATACGTATATACATACGTGTTTAATAGGACAAAAAAAAATAATTATCACATTAGAGAATCTTATATAAATTACTTACATACGAAAATATTAGGTAAAAGAAATGTTTAAACGTTTAAGAAATTTGTTGGGGTGGGGGTGATTATATAATGAAAAAAAAATAAATAGAAAAATGCAAAAATTATACTCGGTCTTAATGATTAAGCATTCTATATGTTATAACATGAAATAACTACAATTCTTGTTCCGTAATAATATAAGATACCTGAGTTCCACGTTGCAGGGTTTTTACATATGTATAACAGTAACTGAAAAGTGAAAAAGTGATTTGAAAATGTGATGTGTTTTTTTTTCAACCACAAATATTTTACGTGTGTAATACCATATTTTAGGACTTATGGACAACTGCATTTGTACAACTACGTTAAAAATTTCTCGTTGCTACAGGGTTCAAAAATTTCTTCTTTTCTCCTATTACGCCAGAAGAATTTCGCATTTACGCAATAAATTTTTCCGTCGCGTTACCTTCTTTTTCGAAATATACAAATTTCTTTTGATAGTACTGGGAACAACGGTTTCCAATTGCTTTCACTAGTTACATTAGGTGCTAGTTAGTTTACTTAATTAACGTAATAACATTTTAGAAAATCTTTTTATCGTTTTGCAAACATTTCAAAAAAACTATTGTACATTTAAATTATTTCCCTTTCATAATCGAAATTTTAGTTGTCAAAAAAGGGGAAAAACGATACTACTAAATAATTGATTACATTTACAGGAGGATACGATTTTTTTTTTATTTTGCTTGCACGCTCTAGCTTAATTTTAAAAACCGAAAAACCCTTAAATATTATTCTTTTGTTTTGTTTCAGAATTAATGTAATTTAATATAACATGATATTTTTCTGTTCTTCTGTTTGTTTTTTTTTTCGTCAGAAGAAAGTAAATTTGAATTATTAAAGTGTTCCTGCCATTTTTTCCTTCCCCCTGTATTTAAAAATCATGCATACATTATAATAATGTTGTTTTACTATTTACAAAATGAGAGAAAAAAAAAATGAATGATTGCCTTTATTTTATACTTAATAATTTCGAAATGAATAAAAATATCAAAATTCTTAAGAACTTTAATTTAGAAAGTGAAAAAAAAAAGTGAAAGCTAGAAGAATGATAACTTAAACTACATTTGGCAAAAGATTATGAATGTGTCAAAAATTAGAAAAAGTGTGCGTGTGCCACAAAAAATGATTGATCGTTTTGAGTAAAATTGAATTTTTTTCCTCAATGTTCTATAAAACATTTCGAATTATATTGCGTTTAAAATTACTAATCCGTTTTTATATTTACGTTATGAGATGCGAATTACGGTAAAAAAAAAAAAATAATACACTTATTCTTTGAACTGAAAATATAAAAATCTTACTAACTTTTTTTTTTGTTCATATATTAGTGATGCTTCGATAATTTAATAACCATGAATCACGGATTCTGACAATTTTGAGAATTATGATGGCTAAAGGACGTGCATGTTGTTAAATTAAAAATATCAGATAAGCATTTAAAGAGCATTAAATCGTAACCATAAAAAGAAATCCAATAACTTTACATTTTTACTGGGTTAAAAAAAAATTTTTCGCTTCTTAAGACAAGTATAACAAATAAAACAAGAAGTATAAGAAGGGAGGTGTATAACCAGTAATGTCACAATGAGCAATACAGTGTCGATTGCTTTATTAAGATAGGAAATCTTAAAACAAATGGGAAATCCACGAAAATGGAGAAATATTAAAACAAATAGGTTGAGAAATGAAAGAAAGTAATATTCTAACCGAAAAGAAGGAAAAGCAGTTTACTAATATAGTTACATTGGGGTTAATATTTTTTTTTACATTACTGAACAAAATTATAGTCGAGTTATAAGACGAAATACGATTTTAGCACATTATAATGTTATAATCATACCAAAGTGAAACTATACTAAATTTTGAATACACAAAAATAAATTATTTTAAAGTTTCGAGATTTCCGAAAAAATTTTATTAAAGAAGAAACATAACTCTGTTTTGTAATGTTCGAAATTTAATAAATAAAATTTTTGTGACAATCCAAATTTATCACAATTTTTCAATAAAACTTAAAATAATACTTAGTAAATCAGAATATTTATAAAACGTTCGAACATTTCATTTGAAAATTTATTAGAGAATTTTTGAAATATTCACGAAATTTATATGTACGTTCCTACCTAATACAATAATATATCTATAGAATATAGTGCATCTATATGGTTAGAGCTCTAAATAATGTATTTTATTGAATGGCATGTTATTCCAAAATTTTGATTTTTAGAAAACATCAATTTTTTCACTCTTTCGTTGATTTTATTTTTATGAAGGCATGCTTTTCAATGATATCATGTATATGATAAACATTATACATGTGATAATGTAGGCATATGTGTATATCTTCTCCTACTTAATGGCCTAGTACTGTTGATGTAGTAAATTAGAAATAGACAGCCGCAATTGAAAGTATTGCTAAACTAAAATATAAATGACGTTTACTGCCCTTATAAAGATTTATTTACATATTTTCCTCTCTAATTTTTTTTTTGTTTCCTACCACTTGTTTTTTTTTCTTTTTTATCGATTCCTCATTTATTTTCGAAACAGAAGAAAAAAAAAAAAGAATTTTTATTATAAAACAAAAATTTTTGACATCGTATCGTAGAATGCCATTTCCATAATATTTTACTTGTCGTCCTATTCTTTGATATTCTCAAAACTCAATTCAAAACTGAAGGAAAATGAAAAAAACAAAAACCGAAATACAAAAGAAACATGAAAGCAAAATATTATATAAAAAAATTTTTTCAACTAAGAAGCTTTGACAGCGCAGCAAAGAGGGAGTCAAATATATTATTGCAATGATAGTCAACTCCTGTTGAGCTAAAAGGTATACATATATAACGTATAAGTATTATACGTATATAAACATTTAGAAACATAAACATTAGATTATGATATCTAGTCTATAATAGTGAGGAATGAATAAGCAACAAACAAGACAAAACAAACCACCAAAAAAAAAGGAGCAAAAGAGAAAGAAAGCGAAAATTCTTTTCCCGTTTACCCATTATTTAATGGTTAATTATTTTGATTTTTATTAAAGAATGGCGGGGGCTAAACATAAGAGCAAGTAAACAATTTTCTTAAAAAGTTTGTTTTATCGAAATATTCTTTTCAATGACTTTGTTTACAAGAATTTGAATTAGCTTAAGGGAAAATTATCACAGTTAAAGCCAATTCTAGATTCATATAAAAAACAAAAAGCAAAACAAAATAATCAGAAAGAGAAAACAATAAAGGAAAAACAAAAAAATTAAAATTGTTTTTCGCTCTATTTTCTGGTTCCCCTCTTATATTTTTTGTCTGTTAAGTTTCCGTAAAATATAAAATATTTTTATACTTATGGCTCCCTAAAGTGTTATAAGGAATACGGAAAAAAAATGGTACAATATATAGGGATAAAGTAAAAAATTTTTATAAAAGTTAATTTTATGGGCCATTCAATTAAACATAAAATTTTCAAGATGAAAAAAACAAAATTTAATTTTTGAGAAAATTTAATCAAGAAATAATACTATGGTAGTCATAATAGTAATTTTCTCCGCAAAATTCGTATACTTAGTGTGGTTTCCCTTCAATGTTTTTCAGACTACTTCAGTTTCTCTTAATTTTTATTTGAAAAATATTATTTTTCAAATAAAAATTAAGAGAAACTGTGATGGCTGAGTAAGATTGTATGTACTAGGGCAAAGAAAATTGTTTTTAATTAAAAACTAAACGGCATTCTTCTCTTAAAAACTGAAAAGTTCATGCAATAAAAAGCTGAACTTTGAAGGTTGCAAACCATTCGTTAATTGAAAAACGTGAAAAGAACACGAAAATCTAGGTTTTTGAGATTTTAACTGTTTTTTAGGTGAAAGATTGTATATTCCCTTAAGATAGCACCAGACTAATTTAAAAATTTTCATTTAATAGAGAAAATTACGAAATCATAAAATGGATTTTGGTTTACCAATAAGATGAAACTAATTTAATCTAAATTAGTGTTGGGTACTTTTACAAAATTTGAAAAACTGTGACTAAAACTACATTATATTGTAAATATTTATAGCTTTACTAAGAAAATCTGTTGTCAACAAATTCTGTTCAATCAGATTCAATCAGATTTATGGGTTGAATTCTTTCTTCCAAATGAAATGTGACCACCTAAAATTTAATTAAGCATGGATTGAATAAAATTTTTCTGGATTGTGGCTTATAGAAAAAAAGAGAGCTAATATAAAAATATCTCCATTTTGTTTGAGATTGACTTAGAAAATAACACTACTGACGAATATTAAATACTAGTTTTAATATTTATGTTGCTCTCACATAGAATAACAGGAAGAACAGAATTTATAAAATCCGGAAATACTTTAAACTAGATCGTAAATAATGTGTTATATTCATGTACTACAGGCTATTAGTGAACAGGAAACAATTAATGTTATACAAATTAATTTAAAATTTTTAAATAAAAAATAAATGTACTATAAATTTACTTACCTTTTCAAGGTCTTTTTCCAGAAAATCTTACAATATTATTTTGGGTACTTTCAATTGGGTCTCCTGAGCGCGGCAATATTCTTAAATTTTTGTTTTTCTTCAAGAATTTTTTGTCGTTCTTCTGAATTTTTTTTCTTATTGTATTTTTAATTCTCAATTTATTTTAGATTTTTTTTGTTTCTTTTTTACATACAATACTTTTTATTTTTAAACAATAATTATTTAATTTTATTTATTTATTTTTATTTCAGTTTAAAGGAACACATGAAAAAGAAAATAAGAAAAAATAAAAATGACTACAAAAAAATTTCTAAATTTAATATTACGTCATAAAAAAATTTTTTTAATTTTTTAAACACACAAACATTTATTAGTAAATTTTATGCACTGTTATATTATAAACAATATGTGAGAGACAAAATAAAATTATATTTTAAAAGTATATCGTTTTCTTCTTTTCTTTTTCTCCTTCTATTTTTAAATTAATTTACAAGATTTCACTATTCTTAAATGTTCTTGTGTTGTTTCTTTTTATTTGTTTTTCTATCCTTGTCTTTATTCCACTATAGTGGAAGTGGTGAAAAAAATGTTCATTGATCTTAAATTTATTATTTTATTCATATAAGAGTGTACATACCGTATATATAATATAGTAGATCGTATATATATATATATTGTAAGGTATGCTTGAATGTAAAAGATTATTATATATTCGCATATGTGAAAATATTATGACTGTTATACAGAAAAAATGAGCAAATGTTTTTAATTTAGAAATATGATTGAATTTTCACCATTTGTTATAATTTTATTTCTGTTTTATTTCTTTCTATTTGTTTTTATATTTATAATAATATAATTATCATTATTTAATGTTATTTTGAAATTTCTGTAAAGAAAACAAAAAATCATAAATTATAAAATAAAATAACCTTCATATAATACAATACAAATGTTATTTTAATTGAAGAACCTACACATTTAAATTTGCACATAATATGTAAGCGAGCCAGTATGTAAATGGCAGCAATGCGGTATAAATATTTAAATGATTGTTTAAATTATACTTTTACGATATGTGCAAATTTAAATATGCATTGTTCGATACAACAACTGTACGATAATCGGTATAGAGTTTGAATAATGTATAAATAATACAATATAACTTGCTTAAATTTGAATAACGTAATATATAACATAATCGCAGATTAATGAGCATAGTAATAATTTATAAACATGTTTAATAAATTATAGCATTTCTAAATATCAATAAAATCTTAGCCTCGTAACTTGAATATTTACTATGATTATCGACAAGTACATACTGCAATAGTAATGCTCCCTCAAAGTAGTGTGGTCTATTGTTGAATTCTTAAAAGAAGAGAGGATTTTAACATACAACCTCAAAACTTAGTGAGAATTTCCGCTACATCAGAATCGTGGCAATAATGCATAACAACACAACTTCACAATAGTAAATTATAAACTGCAATCTTATCGTTTGCAGCAATTTTGAAGTAAATACATGTGTTCGCCACTTTTACATTTTAGTTATTACCGCCTCGTCATTTACAAAAAATACAAAAATCTAAATATAATGACAATAATATTATAATTAATAGTTTTAAAAGTACTTGAATATTTTTCCACTTTTAGAATATGATCAAATATTAATATGCTCCGTTTATAACAATGATTTAACAAATTTTTTTTCTTAAATTCTAAAATATATAATTAAAATATTAGTCAGAATATTTAAATATTTATTTTTATGTATTATGTATTCATACACCTTCTGTAAATTAGACCAAGCAAATAAAATGAGCACATGCTACGATAACATTGAATACTACTTTGTGTAATGAAATTTATAAGTTATAAATATTGAAATGATGACATCCATATGTTATTTTTAATTTTATAAATTTGCATGAATTAAATACCTTGGCTATCAATTCGAGGAATTCTTTTGAAGTATTTGAAATATCATTGCACTTGCATTGGTGCACATATATTTGCACATATGCACATTGCACATATTATATCTTTTATGTTTATAGAATGAAAATTGAAAAACAATTGCTGTTGAATTGTGAGCATTACTGAGATAAAATTTGAAAAAAAAATTGAAATAAATACGTTCGCATTGGCTTTTAAAAGTAGTTCAAGAAAACAAAAATTTGGAAAGGAAATTCCACATACTGTCCGTCAAAAAAAAACTATTGCAAAAAATTAATCTTGAGTTACATTAATCAAATCATCCGTACTTATTCTGAATAATTGAAATTAGATAATGCCAAAGCAATATTTGCAATTTGAATACCATATTCCATAACTCAGTTGTTCGCAGTACATATTTTATATTCCTTGACTTCAAAATTGCCGTAATGCAGTATTACTTAATACATAATTCAGTTTATGAGCAGGAGAATCACTTTTTACTGCAAATTTTGAAATCAACCAATTAACAGTTTCTTAGGGAGCTAATTTAGAACTACTTTCTGCCGATTCCGTTTTACGTAATTTTATTATACCCGTACGAACGTATGTTCGAAGGGTATACTAAATTTGCCTTACCGTTTGTAACGCTAAGAAATAACGGTCTTAGATATAGACTCAAGTGTATGTTTTTGATCAGCGTCAAATTCTGAGTTGATTTAGCTTTGTCTGTCCGTCCGTCCGTCCGTCCGTCCGTCCGTCCGTCCGTCCGTCCGTCCGTCCGTCCGAACGATAACTCAAAAACTAATTGAGCTAAGTTCACCAAATTTTCACAAATGATTTATTGTAGTAAGTGCCAGAACCCTATTTAAATTGGACATGATCGGGGTACCGGTTCGGGTAGCTGCCATACAACTTCAAAATTTATTTGGCTATATCTCAGAAACTATAAAAGTTATGGTATTGAAATTTCACACAAACGAATATATTAGTAGGGCCAATATGCCACATAAAAGTCGTTGAAATTACTTGGCTCCTTCTGGTACCTGCCATACAACTTCAAAAATTATTTGGCTATATTTCAGAAACTATTAAAGCTATGGTATTGAAATGTCACACAAACGAATATATTAGTAGGGCCAATGTGTCACATAAAAGTCGTTGAAATTACTTGGCTCCTTCTGGTACCTGCCATACAACTTCAAAAGTTATTTGGCTATATCTCAGAAACTATAAAAGCTGTGATATTGAGATTTCCCATAAGTGAATATATTAGTAGGGCCGATGTGTCTCGTAAAAGTCGTTGAAATTAATTGGCTCCTTCTGGTACCTGCCATACAACTTCAAAAGTTATTTGACTATATTTCAGAAACTATTAAAGCTATGGTATTGAAATTTCACACAAGTGAATATATTAGTAGGGCCGATGTGCTTGATAAAATTCGCTAAAATTTCTTGGCTCTTTCTGGTAGGTGCCGTACAACATCAATAGTAGTTTGGCACAACCAGTATTTTGAATAACACATAGTACTTAAATTTTGCATAAATTAATATGGTAATACAGCAACTTAAAGTCATAGTCTGCCCCATAGTTAGTTATGGCACATTAGTTATTCGCACATAGGATAACAAATTCGTACGGGTATCACAGAGTTGACAAGGTCAACTCTATTTTTTTTCTCGTTTTAAATATAATTTATCTCAATTTATCCTCAATTTTTATTCTATGTTAGAAATCTCCTCAACAATATCGCATGAGTACGAAAGATTTTATTAATTTTTGGTTGCCAATCTTTGATCTTAAGAAAAATAATATTATTGATAGTATAAAAAATTGAAAACTGCATTTTTCAATATTGACGGATATTGATTGCCATTTAATTTTTTTTTAAATATTTACAAATTAGAGATGTGAAGGCGCACATAAACACGTAAAATAAAATGTCTAGTCATAAGAGCTCAAAAAATAGCGCATCCACTGACGATATGTAATTATTATTTATAAAATTAGCGTTTATTATCTTTTCATTGAAAATTTCGAAATTTATTTTTTCTCATATTAAAAAGAAATTTTAAAATATTGAATAGTTTTGTCCTTCATTCTATAAAAGAAAATATTTTTAAAATAAATTATGATCTCAAGAAAACAAATTTTCTTCTCATTTTTATTTTAAAATGAATTTGAATAGAAAAAAAACGAAAACTGCTTAGAAAAGATTTTTTTCTATAGCTATTCATCCGTCCATTATTTAGTTTTTCCTAATTGATCACACCTATAGTCAAACATATATAATGTATAGCGCCGCACATAGACAAATGTATGTTTTCTTCTAGTTTTATAACATTTTATTAAAAAACGAATAGAAAAAACAGAAATTTTTTTAACGTTTCGCTCTTTTTTTTTTTATTTCTTTAGATTATATTTTAATTTTTAGTTAAAAAATAAAAGAAAAAAAAATAACATAATAATTATAAATTTTATTTGAAATTTATTCTTGGTTCATTTTTTACTCAAACTAACTACAATATCCATGTGCTCAAAATTACCATTTGCCAATTAATTTAGATAAAGTCTGTCAAAAAAGAGATTAGCGTAGACTGGTAAAAATTTGTTTTTTTTTTTTAATTTAGAAAATTTTATCAAGAGTATAAAAATGGAAACGAGAGAAAATTTTTTTGGCAGTCTAGTTGATTTCATCAAGCATTGTGCTTTTCAACGTGAGTCCGGTACACCTGAGTAAAAAATTAACTGAGTAAAAAAGAGCGCCATCAAAATTCAAATCAATCTGACTTATTCAGACTCAATTAATGTTGCTTACTGATTAGAATAGATTCAAAATCAGTTTTACATTTATGCTAATGTATTACATTTAGTACATTATGTAGTAGTTGGGTTTTAATATTCATTGTAATGTAAATTGCGGATTATGATTCACTAAAATGCAAGCTTAAATTTTTTAGCTGTGTTTAATTCAAAATTCATACTATGATTTATTGTGGCACTCAAAATTCTTAAACATCTTGACATAACATAATATGAAGTCCTCTCACGGAGACCGCATAAGTATTACTGCAATTCCGATTTCGGGGGTTACGTTTTTTTTCGATATGCGTTTTTAAAAGATATTTGCTTGCAACCGACGTTTTTATAATCGGGCAAATTTCGAAAAAAAATTCTTTTATATGAGCTGCTTCTATACTGGTACGTCTGTATTCACTGCAAATATCACTATACTTAATTTTAAAGCGTGGAATTTACAAAAATTTGTTTATTTTAAAAAAAAAATTTCATTGGTTTTTCGTTTTTATTCTATTCAATTATTTATTTTTTGTATATTTTTATAGAATGACTCAAATCAATTAATTTAATAACTTCTAGATAATTTTTATATTTTCATTTGACCTTTTGCATTATATTTTATTATATGAATACACATTTTAGTCACTCAATAGTATTTGAATAATAAACTTTTATATTAATTATAAAGTTCAAAAATATTTATAAAACTTGACCTTTCCTGATTGAAAAATCTACTGTTAAGAGCATATATTTACATAGCTATATTAATAATTTTATGGCATAAATTTTTTTATAACAATATTGAAATTGATTGCTAATACTTGTATTGACAATAATTTGAATTCTGTTGCCACCAAAGAAGATGTCAAAGGCCGCCTAAAATGAAGGAAATAAAATTAAAACTTTGCCGACTTATAAATATTCTTATAAGATCCGGAAGGACGCTTATTCATATGCTTCTGTAGCAGTTATAATTCAATAGTGCTTGAAAACTTAGTCAATTATACAAATACAAAATTACGAGCGATTTTGATGTGTATGTGAATCGACTCTCCTAATGAGATTATCCGGATAGGCGGATTTTTGCGAAACACAAGCACATTCGCATGTATTTATTATTTTACAGCAAAAACCCACACTTTTACAGCACT